TTTCACTCAGTAGATACAGATGTCCTAGTGCTAGGAGTTTCAGCATGTTCGAAGCTAAACCATTCGGGCCAATTCAGAGTTCCAGATTTCCTTTGGCACAGGAAATCATCTACTTTACCTCGCTGTGCATGAGATATCCAACAGTCTTGGGCAACAAAAGTCCTTGGCACTTCACTTCATAGTTTCCTGTTTTGCTGGGCGTGGACAAAAGACGCGGACTTTGATGTTTGAAAAGCACAATCTGATGCCACAACTGCATTATTAATGCAAGCCACCCAATCTTGTCAGATCATTAAAGAGTGCATGATTTTTCTCCTGAAAGGTACGTTGTCATCCTTTATGGCTGAACATGTGACAGAAGTCTAAATCGATGCCAGAAATCAATTGTTAGCCCAGAAAGGAAAGTCTTTCAAATCTATTCCACCTACCAGTCCTGTTGGAGCATACCAAACATGCTGCCAGGGAATGCACTGCTGGGGCCATGCTTTAAATCCAAGCCCACAAGATTGGGGGTTCAGTCTAGATACAGACAACTGATGAGTGTTAGCCATACTGGGCATCTCTTGCTGATGTTGCCAAGTCGTGTAGAGAGCTTATTAAAAGCYGTTCTTGAAGTCATTCATGCTCTAAATCCGACCTTGGCTGTACATCTTACAACTTTGGTGGTCAAAAACGCCTAATCTTTATWATGCAAATTTTACTTCCGGTTTAAAATGGCCGCTATTCAAAAAATYCYCTTAATTAGAGAAAATAGTTCTTTTTTGTCCTTAAACTATATCAGAATCTCTTAACATAATTAAAACTCAGCAACTGTCTGTGTTTAATCATTTAAACATGTATTGTGATTGATTTATTACCATTTGAAATTTTACTTCGGGGTTCAAAATGGCCGCCATTTTGAAAAATCCCCGTAATTGCCGACTGCATCGATTTTTGCGTTGGCACAATATCAGAATCGATTCCTGGTATTCAAATACATATTTTGACAGAGTGTCATGATTTTAACCTGAAAGTGAACAATTGCCTCACCTATCCGCCTAACTAATTAGAATTATCGTTTATAGTCGCATATTTTTTGCTTCTACACGGACTGTTAACGAACTAGACGCTCTTAGAGCGTCAAGTCGGGCTACAAGCTATTTTGGACAATCGAGAAGTCCGGATATTCCATGGGTGCGCGGATACGCAAACGAGTGAAAGACGACTGAGTTAGTTTGAGTAGTTTTTTTCCTTAAATTAATTTATGTGCAGTTCACAATTCTAATTGTTTATTTACGTGCCGCGATACTCTTAACTGAAAGATTGGCGCAACGACGTCAAAACACTTGAAACATCGAGTCTTCGCAGTTAATGTCACTGAATCTGCGACGATTTTAAGTCGCAAATTATGAAAATTTGGTAATATTTAAGAGTGAAAATTATATCGTGAATGACTCTTCTACTGCTTTAAACTCAATATAAGCGCGAACTCACGCAGTTATGCGTCTAGTTTGGTTTAGGAATAGTACTTTTTCACTGGTCCTCCCCAGTGGTTTGTGGCCAAGGTTTCAGTTGGATGATTCATGGTGGAAATAAAAGAAACGAGCTCGTCATTTAACTGCATTTTGTATTTATTTCAGAACATCCCGCGTTAAGTAAAACCTCATCCGGCAATATGTCGAAAGAGAAGCGCCTGTGTTTGATAGGAGCTGGGCCAAGCGGGATGTCAGTCTTATATCATTATAACAAACTGAAACAGCAAGGAAAAGACGTCCCAGAAATCGTGTGCTACGATAAACAGTCTGACTGGGGTGGTCTCTGGTTGTACTCCTGGGAGACAGGTAAGAAGCGACAATGACGGCTTCACATGAATAATTAATTAATTCACTATCTGTTGCCTCTTTTCATTTAGGTATTGGTCAATATGGTGAACCAGTGCACGGTAGTATGTATAGAGGTCTGTGGTCCAACGGACCGAAAGAGTGCGTGGAATACCCAGACTATACATTTGAAGATCATTTTAAAAGGGCTATTCCGTCTTATCCTCCTAGAGAAGTTTTGTTGGACTACTTGAACGGTAAAGTCTTATATATTAATAAAGTGTTAGAATTTCTTCATTTCGATGAAGTCCATTGTTTAAAATTGCTGTTGTTTATTTTTTCTTCTTCTTTTATTTGTCTCAGGTCGTTGGTCACAAAGCGATCTCCGTCAATTGATCAAATTCAACCATGTTGTCCGCCATGTCACCTACAATGATGACACTGATGACTTCTCTGTTGTGGCTAGAAATCTTCCGGAGGACAAAGACCTCCYAGCTCAGAGATTTGACTATGTCATTGTAGCCAGTGGTCACTTCTCTGTGCCTTATTTGCCCAACTTGAAYGGAATAGAAACCTTTCCTGGACGGGTCATCCACTCTCATGACTTCAGAAACTCTCATCAATACAAAGGCATGACTGTATTGATTGTAGGGTCAAGCTACTCTGCAGAGGACCTCGCATTGSAAAMTATCAAATATGGTGCTAARAAGRTCT